AAAAAAAAGAAAAAAAAGTGCTTAATTAAAAAAAAACAGGAAAAAGAAATGGTTGGCTTTTCTTTTCTTTTTTTCTTATCTTGCCGGAGACAAGAATCGAAAGGCAGGAATTGAACGAAAGAAAATGCAAACCAAAGACTTCTGTTTTTTTGTTTTTTTTTTTCACTATTTTACTTTTTTTCTGCTCCTTCGTATCTTTCTACATTTTTTTTGCGTATTATATTAATGTATCTCAATATACTAATTGCGTTTCCACGTTTCTTTTTTCTTTCTTTTTTTTTTTTTTTGCTTCCCTCTTTTCTCGTTTTCATTTCGGTGAAATTTTCGAAATGCCCCTCCGACTTCCCTTCATTTGCGATATACACATATCCCCCTCCGACGGCCGACTTACCCTGCCCCGCCCCTTTGACAAAGATTGAAGTTTCCGAAAAACCCCTGGCATCGTTTGGGCCTGAAAAATGTTCAATATGCCCCTACCGGTACCAGTTCCAAATTTCCAATATGCCCCCGAAGCTCACCTCCTCCCAGGGCCAGGGGAACGGCCGCCAGTGCCACCAACAGCCACAGGGGCATGCTGAAAAGTTGCACCCCTCACTGACAGGGGCCTGAAGGAAACTGCAGAGGGCCCAGGGGCACGACAGGGTAAGAGTCGACCGTAGGAGGGGCATACCGCAAATAAATGGAAGTGAGAGGGGCATTTTCGATAATTTTTCCCTTTCATTTCAATTTTTTCTTTCTTTCTTTCTTTCTGGGCTTCTTTGTTTCAGTTTCGATTTTCTTTTCCTTTTATCCCTTTGTTTTCTTTGTCACTTTTTCTCGTTTTTTTCCCTTTTTTTTTTAGGTTTAATTTTTTCTCTTTATTTTTCCTGTTCGCACTTTTTTTTTCCTTCTTTTTTCCGTTTTTTCTTTTTCTTTTCTCGTTCTTTCTTTTTCCCCTAAAAAATTGCGCTATGATGTTCTCTCAAATGCACCTTTCAGGCTTTCACTACCTACGTACTACTCCTAAGGCTATACTAGGACCCCCCTGAAAATCAAGGGGGGCACACGGGACCCCCCAAACAATCAAGAGGGGGGGCATGTTGCCTATCTTTTTGCAGTACCTGTCCGTTTTTCTTTTCGTTCTTTTTTTGGGCCGGGTCCGTCTGCTTTTTGCTTTTCGTTTCTATATCTATATCGTTTACAGTTGTATATATTTATATAAATTCCATATACATACTCCAGATGCGTCTGTGAAACTCCCAAGGAAACAGTCTGTTTCAGCCACGCGTATCTTGTCCTGTTCTCCCCTTCTGAGTACGGTTCGCTGGGCAATTCTCTATGATTATATATATATTAACATGTTTTGTACATATATTGTCACATTGTGAATCAGAGCGCACAAAAGGGGAAAGAAAAAAGGAAAAGGAAAAAAGGGGAAGGGGAAGAGGTAAGGAAAGCTCCACCTGTTCATAACCTCTTACGTACAAGGCCAGCCACGTGGATGACAGGTTGAGCGCTGGCTGCCCCCATCCCCGTGTGTCACAAGGACCCACTTGCACGCAGCCAAAAGGCAAAGAGGTAAAGAAAGGGAGGAGGAAACCAAACCTGACAGGGAAAGAAAGATAGGGAAAGAAAGATAATCCAATTATCACAAAGCAAATAACACATCCCACAGATCAACGTATCTTTTTTCTTTTTTTATATCGTCAAACAGCGGAGCTGGCCCGTAAACCTTTCTAGGCACAGGAAGGGAGGGAGGAGGGAGAAGAGGACAACAACAAACGAGGGAGGGGCTACTGTGACAAACTATTTTTTTTTTTTCGTCGGAGTTTTTGTTTTTTTTTTTTCGTCGGAGTTTATACATACCGTCAAACAGAACTGCCCGGCAAACCGTCAGCCGCTCAACCTACATCCAGGTGGGCGGGGCCTTGTACGCAAGAGGTTCTGAACAGGGGGAGTTGTAAGAAAGAAGATAAAAAAACGAATTATTTTTTTCTTGTTTTCTTCTGTTTTTTCGCCTTCGCGCTCTGATATTCATGTGACGATATATATATTGTCGCAATATATCAGAGCGCAAAAGCGAAGAAAACCAAGAAAAAATGAATTCATTTTTTTTTTATCTTTCTTCTTTACAACTCCCCCTGTTCAGAACCTCTTGCGTACAAGGCCCCGCCCACCTGGATGTGACGATATATATATCGTCACAAACAGAACTGCCCGGTAAAACCGTAGGCAGAGAGAGAGAAGAGGACAACAAACGAGGGGCTGTGACAACCTGTTTCATCGGAGTTTCATATGTATCGTATATTGTCACATTGGAAATCGGAGCGCAAAGGCGGAATTATATATATATAAATATAAATATATATTTGAGTCGGTGAAACTCCGACGAAACAGTTTGTCACAGCAGCCCGTCGTTTGTTGTCCTCTTCTCTTCTCCCTCCCTCTCTGCCTACGGATTACCGGCAGCTCTGTTTGACGTATAAATTAATAAAATATAATATATATAATATGATATATATAATATAATATATATATAATATATATATATATATTACATAGATATATTATATAGATGTATAAATGTTATATGTATAACCCATTTATATGTAAATATAGAGGTTTGGTTTCCTCCTCCTTTTCATTACCTCCTCTTTTTTGCCTTTTGGCTGCGTGCAAGTGGGGGGTCCTTGTGACACACGGGGATGGGGGCAGCCAGCGTTTAAGCTGTCATCCACGTGGCTGGCCTTGTACGTAAGAGGTGATGAACAGGTGGGGCTTTCCTTCCTTCTTTTCCTTTCCTTGTTTTGCTTTTTTCCGCCTTTGCGCTCCGATTCACAGTGTGACAATATATGCATAAATGTTTTATACATATAACACATATATTTACATATATTTACATATATACATATATTATACATATACATAAACATATATATGCATAATATATTGTCACATGATATCAGAGCGCCTAAGCGAAAAAACCAAAAAAACAAAAAAATCTTAAATTCGTTTTTAATCTTCTTCCTTACAACTCCCCCTGTTCAGAACCTCTTGCGTACAAGGCCGCCCACGTGGATGTAGGTTAATATATATAAATATATATCGTCACAAAATATATATCGTGTATAAAACATATAAATATTTATAGTCATAGAGAATTGCCCAGCGAACCGTACTCAGAAGGGGAGAAAAGGACAAGAAGATACACGTGGCTGAAACAGACTGTTTCCTTGGGAGTTTCACAGACGCATCTGGAGTATGTACATGGAATTTATATAAATATATAACTGTAAACGATATAGATATAGAAATATTTATCGTCATATATAAACACCTGCATATTTTCCGCCGCCTATGTATGTATACGGATACATGCGTTAGATTCACACAGCAGCATATACCCCTACATGTGGAGCGAGAGAGAGGTGAAGACAAATAGAAACAAGGAGACAGGAGAGCAACACTCCACTCGCGAACAGATGAACAGACAGACAGGCAGACGGTAGATGGACAGACCAAGTCCCACTTGTAGCAGCGTTGAGCTACCTCAACGACTGAATCTGGACGTGTTTGTGGAGACGTGCAATTCAGGAAACTCAACACCATTTCTGCACATCCCCGCAAAAGCGTCCAGATTCAGGCGTTGAGGTAGCTCAACGCTGCTACAAGTGGGACTTGGCCCGGAGCCTAATCATAAAAGACTGAAGAAAAAGGAATTAAAAAAAAAACAAAAGGGAGAAGGGAAATGCCCAATTGTTTCACGTGGATGCGCGGGCACGCATGTGACAACTACGTACAATTGAAAAAGAGAGAGAGAGAGAGAGAGAGAGAGAGAGAGAGAGAGAGAGAGAGAGAGAGAGAGAGAGAGAGAGAGAACACTTGCGAATTGGACAATACGTGCGAGGCTTTACTCTCACAGAATACACGTCCTGTCCATGGCATGCGACAACAAGAAGTCGCGATCACCCTTCTGCCTCTCTGCTCAGGTAGAGAGAGAGAGAGAGAGAGAACAATACTAGAGCCGACGTCATACGACGGGTGTATCTGGACCGAAAGTCGGCATGAAGGACACAAAAATATAGATACGAGAGCAGAGAGAGCAAACAGGACTCCGAGGTAATCTGTCCCCAATCCCAACAGGCCGAGCAGGGCAGCTCCTGTTGCCTACCTAGGCTCCAAGTCTCATTCGTCCGGTTCCAGGTACCAACGGGGTACCAACGGGGTACCAACGGGGTACCAACGGGGGGACCAACGGGGGGGACCAAAGGGGTACCAAAGTGGGACCAAAGGGGAACGGAAGGGGGACCAAAGGGGAACCGAAGGGGGACCGATGGGAGAAGCAATTAGGAGCATGCAACCCCCCCCGGTGGATAACAAATAGAGATGAGATCATGTGCCACATGGCAGAGCGAGAAACACGCAGGACCAATGGCCACACAGTTCACACACACACACACACACCCCTCGCACACACAGAGCTTGCAGAGCCAGAAACATGCAGGACGAGTCAGGAGAGAGTTCTCACACACACACACACACACACACACACACACACACACACACACACACACACACGACAACAGGCACACGAACACGCGCACACACAGAGTTTACGTACCCAAGTGAAGTGTTGAAGAGGAAGAGGAAGACGCCATAGCTACAAGCAACGAGCGTGCTCAATACTTTAATCGTCGTGTAATGTACTCTTGTACAGTTAGCTTGAATCACGTCCAGATACGCAGGTCAAGGTTCAACAGATCAGGTCCAGATCCAGCGGATCCGGTCGTGGTTAGTCTACATGGTACATGTTCGACCGCTCAAGTCCAGCTCCTGGTCCAGCGAATCAGGTCCTGGTCCAACGGATCAGGTCCAGGTTCGACGGATCAGGCCCTCATTCAACACGGACTATGTCCGCCAGCTCTCCTTAGAGCTCCTCTCCGCACTCCCAATTACGCCCCCATAGCTTTCATCTCCTTTCCAAGTCGGGATCTCTACCTCTTTCTACATCCTGCTCTGTCTTACGCAACTTTCTTCCCTCCTCGTCCTCCTCCTCCTCCTCCTACTCCTCCTCCTCCTCCTCCTCTCTGCCTCTCTCTCTCTTCCTCCCCTTCCTCCTCCTCCTCCTCCTCCTCTTCCTCCTCCTCTCTGCCTCTTTCTCTTCCTCCCCCTCCTCCTCCTCCTCCTCCTCCTCTCTCTCTCTCTTCCTCTTTTCCAAAGTAGCACCCTATCTGAGGAGAGCAACGGACGCGCAACGCTGCTTCCCTTCCGCCCTTCTCTCTCTCTCTCTCTCTCTCTCTCTCTCTCTCTCTCTCTCTCTCTCTCTCTCTCTCTCTCTCTCTCTCTGTGGGTGCGTCTCTCTCTCTCTCTCTCTCTCTCTCTCTCTCTCTCTCCGTCAGTTAGTCTTTTTCTTCCCTCATCCTTTCTCCCTCTCCTGTAGTCTTCCGTTTCTCTTCTCCTTTCGTCCTTCCCCTCTCTCCTGGCCCCTCTACTGTCCGACGACGAACTTTCCAGTAGCTGGTCTGGGCAAATCTCTTCTTTTTTTTTTCTTTTTTCTTTTTTCTTCTCTACAAACGCTGCTCATCTCTTCTCCTCATCTTTTTTTTTGTTTTTTCTAAACACACTGCCGTCCCTTGGACCCCGCTCAGGCCATACTCACACCAGCACCTTTTCGACTAAGCTCTGCTGGACGTGATTGCGGTCAGATTCGCCCAGGCGGGCCGTAATTGCGGTCAGATACGTTCAAGAGAGTGCCACTGTGAGTACGCCCTCACCCTCACCGTCACCGCATGCTACGCTCCCCCGGCTCATCCCCTCAACAGTACAAAGTCCCTTCGCAGACCGACAATGTACCTAGACGCATTTCGATCATGCATCTATACTTTTTATAATTAATTGAAAAAACAATCCGGCGACATAACCCCAAAGTGCTATCTCATAGTATAGTATTCTCATACTACACTCACATATAGCAAACTCAGTTAGGGCATCGCCACACGACTCTCGAAATTTGCAAAATGAGAATGAACTTTCCAGTAGAACATGGCCAGATGCAACCCCGCCACGTTTTTGTCTTTTTCACGTTTCGAGAGTGGTGTGGCAAGGGCCTTAATAAGGGCCTCGCCACACCACTCTCGAAATGCGAAAAAGACAAAACTGTGGCGGCTGCATCTGGTCATGTTCTAGAGGAAAGTTCATTCTCATTTTGCAAATTTCGAGTGGTGTGAAGATGCCCTAACTCATAATGACGAGTAAGCTCCTAGAACTCAGGGTAAGGACAGTGCCACACCACTCTCGAAATGTGCAAAATGAGAATGAACTTTCCGCCAGAACACGGCCAGATGCACCCGCCATCTTTTTCACATTTCGAGAGTGGTGTGGCGAGGCCCTAAGCTCACAGTAATTTCTAGATAGTGTGAGGGGATCCTCACACTTGGACCTTTTTTACCTCATGAGGTGACGTGACTGCGGCCAGATACATCCACGTAGGGCCGTAATTATGGTCAGATACATTTAATATTGTGCTACCTAGTGTGAGTAATACATTTAATATTGTGCTACCTACTGTGAGTAAGCTCTGAAAATGTCATCAACCTGTCTGTCTGGTCAGATCTCCTTTTCTCATCACCTGGCCCTTTTCCCCTTCCCACTCCCTTTTTTCTCTCTCCCTTTTTTTTCTCCCTTTCTCTCCTTCTTTCCTGTAATGGTAATCCCCCCGGTGTACCTTTTTCTCCCTCTCTGTCTTTCTTTCCTCTATAGGTAATCGTTTCTTTTTTCTTTTTTCTTTTTTTCTTTTTTCTTTTTTCTTTTTTCTTTTTTCATTTTTCTTTTTTTCTGTAATTTGATGTGACCTTGTTATCCAATCAACGTCCAATCCAATCCATGCCAGAGGGGTGTCGCCGCGCAACTCACCAAATGTGCAAATGGGAATGAATCTTCTGCTAGAACACGGGATGTTTCACCAAATGTGCAAATGGGAATGAATCTTCTGCTAGAACAAGGGAAGAAACATCGCCAAAAGGGGAAAAAAAACGAAAAAAAAAAGTTTATATACCGGTAGTGTGACCAAACGATTGAAAAAATCAACGTCAGATTTCCCTTCATGTATGTAATCGCCCCCGGTCTGGAAAAGTCTGGAAAAAAAAAAAAAAAGTCTGGAAAAGCCCGATGACTGTCATGCCCGAGCCCGCCAGCTGTACTGTACAGTACTCTCGCCTCTTCGGGCTTAGGGTCTGATCCCATCACTACACTACGCAAGTAGTGACGAAAAAGCACTACAATAGTGTCAGCGTCAGCTACGGGCCCGGCTACAGAAAGCGGATCCGACGACACCGACTTCCTCGGTGGTTTTCCTGGACCCGCGGCGACTTTCCATGGGCTGCATTTTTAGGGTGGACATTTCCGTTGTACCGCCAGACAACCTGTCACACACGCATGTGGACCTCGGACGTTCCTAATGGGCTGGACGGACAACTGAAAAAAAAAAACACAAAAAAAAAAAGTTCCCCCTTTTTCGCGGCCGTTGTGCCCAAACCGTCTACACAAAAAATGTAGTAACTTTGCTCGAGCCCTTCGCGGGCGTGCTGCCACGACATTCCGACACGAAATGCGTGCAAAATATTTCGGCGAACTCCACAACCGTAGTGTAGTAGTAGTGTAGTGTAGTGGCTACGCGCTCCCCCCAGCACTCTCCCCCACTCACTACCTTTTGAAATCTCCCCTACGCGCTCCCTCTCTCACCCGCTTTCTCATTTTTTACCACTACCTCGTCTATTCCAATCAGCCCCCAATCAGCCCCCATCTCCCTCATTCTCCC